GTTTTGTCCAAATTAATAATACTGTATATATTAGAGCTTTCTCTAGATTGTCCTTAACTGTAGAGGACCAAAAGAACTGGGTTATAAAAGAGATTAATAATACAGAATTTCTACTCTCTTAAAAGTTTTCTTTACCAAACCTCTTTCATCACTGCTTAGTAGCAAAAGATGAGTTTAAGCTGCATCCTCCTCCTTTTCAAAGTACTAAGTAGTAGCAACATAGTCAAAAGGTAAGAAAGAAGAGGAAAGTTAACAGCAGAGCCCTGAATAGTTCAGAATAGATAGGAGTCCATGAGTCCAGAGCTAATTTTTCTGTAAGTAATAACTGTCTCTATGCTTTAGTTCTTTAAAAGTTTTCTTTCCTCCTCTGTTAACAAGGTGGTTCTGTTTTTTCCCTTTGACAGCTTTAATTGTATTTGTGGTAGCTGCTGGATCTTCCTGTTCATTAAGGACTTAGGACTAAAGAATCTTTTTTTCTCCAGTCACTTTTTAAACTTTCCTTCTTGGAATCCTAACAGAATATTTCTTCTTACTAAAGAAATATCAACTAGCTTCTCTGCTAAGAGCTTTATGGGGCTACTGTAGAAACACCTCCTTTCTACCCAGCCTTCGAAACTTATTTCCAGGGAACTTCAGTCTAACCTTACAGATATGGAATACGTACTCGTTTAAAATAGGTACTTCCAAACAATCAATACCTTTTTCTCTGAACTTCCTTTGCCTTCCTATTGCCTTATATGATTATTCAAAGTTGTTTTCCTCCCAGGTACCTATCATCTCCCTTTTGCTTATTGACTTCCTTGTGCAGCATAATAGATTATTCATGATGGTGTGTAGATGAATAATTTGGATCTGCCTGACATTCTGTATCTGCTTGTTATATCCACTGTAATGTATTTGTTATTTCTTTTTATAGGTAAATGCTCTAGATGGCTACAAGCGGATGGCTCTCCATTATGCAGCTGAGAAAGATGAAGCCTGTGTGGAAGTCCTGTTGGAATATGGTGCAAACCCCAATGCACTAGATGGCAACAGAGATACCCCACTTCACTGGGCAGCCTTTAAGAATAATGCTGAGTGTGTAAGGGCCCTTCTAGAAAGTGGTGCCTCTGTCAATGCCTTAGATTACAACAATGACACACACTTAGCTGGGCAGCCATGAAGGGAAACCTTGAGAGTGTTAGCATCCTCCTAGACTGTGGTGCAGAGGTCAGGGTCACCAACTTAAAGGGTCAGACACCTATCTCCCGGTTGGTGGCTCTGTTGGTTAGGGGACTAGGAACAGAAAAAGAGGATTCTTGCTTTGAGCTCCTCCACAGGGCCGTCGGACACTTTGAATTACGGAAAAATGGCACCATGCCTGGTGAGGTAGCCAAGGACCAGCAACTTTATGAAAAACTGATTATGCTGTTCTCTGCCCCAGGAACCCTAAAAACATTGTCTCGATATGCTGTTCGACATAGCCTGGGACTCCAGTATCTGCCAGATGCAGTAAGGGCCTGCCATTGCCAGCATTTTTGAAGGAATACTTGTTACCTGTAGAATAACTGAGGAAGAGCTTGGGCCATCACACAACAATTCTACATGAGGTTTGCTTTGCAGACCTAGCTGTCCTGTTCTGTCATGGGGAAGTGGGATGCAGATGTTCATGTCTGGTGCATAGATTTTGTTTAGATGATTCTTTTTTTTTTTAAAGGCAGTTGGGGTTAAGTGACTTGCCCAGGGTCACACAACTAGTAAGTGTCAAGTGTTTGGTCTGCGGGTGGATTTGAACTCAGGTCCTCCTGACTTCAGGGCCGGTGCTCTATCCACTGCGCCACCTACCTGCCCCCTGGTGCATAGATTTTGAAGCAACATGTAACAGCAATAACACCCTTGCCACCTCCCCTCTAAGCCAAAGAAACAAAAAAAATAATAATCCCATGATTTTCTGTTTGCAGAAAGGGTGTGTATTGCTTACTCAGCTTTTGATATTTGCACTTTCTAAAAGAAAAGGTCTCCATGTTCTCTCTCATTTAGAAAACATACAGCTGGAGCCAGCTGCACAGCTGAATTTCTTTAGGAAAATTAAATGTAGTTAAATAGTGTGTGTGATCTCCCTGCAGACACATTTGGTTACTAACTCTTTAGGAGATTTTTAATTGGTCATTGGAGATATTCAGGATAAAAACAGACCAGATAACTCTGTTCACACTCTAAGGCAGAAAATTGAACACAGCTTAAATAGTGCAATTTTAATAATGACTTAACTGAATGATGTACTAGCATTGTCATGTAATTGAGGGGGGAATTTTCCTTTGTTTCCCATCATAAGTAACAAGTGCTGTCTTTTTTTCTCTGTGTGTATCTGAGTGGTACAGTGGTTCAGCAGAATTAACTTAGCTGCTCTCCATTGTGAAAAAAAAAAGTTTCCTCTGCAGTCCTGAGGATGCTCAGCTCGATGCAGGTTCACACTGGATTCGGCCAGACCTGTGAAAGACAGTGGAGCCATAGATAAAAGGGTTTATTCTTTATTTTCACGGTGTCTGGTCGAGACGAGGAGTAGGAGCATCCCCACCTACTGATTGCACTCTTTTGATATATAGAGAAACACACAAAGGAGACAGCATGCCAACAATAAGCTCATAAGTTTACGTTATCTTTGGTTACATAAAGATGTATCAGCATGGAGCAAGTGTGGTTCTGGGCCATGGATCCTGGCTGCCTGTGTCAAACTGGATCCATGCCACATTACATTTCTCAAATGTATTTCTTTTCAGACTTTTCCCAATTAGGTGTTCTAACAACACCAAGAAGCCATCATCCCTGTCCTTTAGATCTTTTAGTATTTGATTCTACAAGGGAAGGATATAAACTGGGCTGCTTTCCTGCAAGTTCAAGTTCATAGTCTCTGTATAGAAAACTGTACTAAATGTTTGAAATTGTTTTCCTTTTGTTGTTAAGTTGTGCTTTGTATTAATTGACATTTTAGTCATTTCAGGTTGTGTGTATGTATGTGTTGGTATTCAGGAGATACTGTATAGAGAAGAACTGCCTAGAAAAGTGTAGTTTGGGTCAACAGGTCTTTTCATTTACATATTCCTAAAGTTTGAATCAAGTTGTCACTGATGTTCTGAGAAGCTGTAATCTGAGCAATACTTGACTAAAACAAAAAACTGTGTTGTGCGGGGACAGAAGGAAAAGGGTGGGAGGAAGCCATATACAAAATAGGAATGGAATCTGTTGAAGTAACTTGAAAATAATTGAAGAGAAAGGCAGTGTGATATATTGAATAAAGAGCAGACTTTGAATTCAGGAAGACCTGGGTTCAAATTCTTTATACATACTGGCTTTGTAACCCTGGGCAAATCACTTACTACCCCGTTTAACTTAAGACTATATATAAAGTACTGAACAGTTGCCAATTGGTATTGACCAGAAGAGTTTCCTTATTAAGAGATCCCTGAAATCACAGGTCTGGTCCAAAAATAAAGTGAATCTGATTTTTTTTTTTTTGTTTGTTACATTTATTGAGGCGATAGGGTAGGGAAGAGTAGTAATTCCAAAGGGGAGCTTGTAAATACCTACTTTGTTCCAGTTATTTTCTGGGTATTCTTTTGTGTCCTTTTTTTCACCTTATAGGTGTAACTAACTACGATATCCCTGTCTCCTTCTCTGTCATACATTATGGTGATACCTAATGTAAATCTCTCTTCCCCTATTTCACATGTCACTAAGCTTGACACTACATTAATAAAATCATTTTCAGAAGGTTTGGGTAGATAGATGGGAATCATACCCACATGGAAAAAGGAGTAGCCTTCATTTCATAGAAAGTATAATAGAGAGGCCCATAGAGAACATGTAATCTCTCATTTTACAGCTGATGACACTAGGTGAGGTGAAATGTCTTGCCCAAAATTCATACCACTTAAGTGGCTGAGTGAGGAGTAGAACCTGGGGCTCTTGACTCCAAGTCCAGCGCCTTTTCCCCTATGGCATGTTGTCTTTTCCCCCTCTGTTTAACAAATGTTTTTAGCTGGCTGAGAAACTCCCACTTCACTTTAATTTATAACTAGTTCCATCCATCTTGATTTTGAGAAAATAGTTTTTCTTCCATTAAAAAAATCATGCTTGACTAGATTTTCAGAGTCTAAGCATGATAGGAAATCCCCTGCTCTCTCTGATTGTTTACTTACAAATTCTTAGGCCTTCAGCAAATGGTATTCCTCCTAGCCTTCCTGTTTCACTTTGTTGCATTTCTGTTCAATAGACGTGAAGTTCTAGGCACTACCTGGTGATGGGGCTACAAAAACATCAGTGAAAAATCACCTGCCTTCAGGAAAGTGATAAGCTCATTATTCCGGTATTGTGTTCTTGTTAGGGAGGTTCTACATAAATGTTTTATCATTTCATTTCTTGGCTTAAAGTAAAGACTCAGCTTCACATGTTTTCATTTATTATTAGCTCCAGAGGGTTAAAAAAAACCCCCAAAAAACCAAAAACAACAACTTGCAGTAGGAAGTATATATTTGCTCTTTAAGATTTAAATCTGCTTTTCTCCCAGAAGCTGATGCATCCCACTGGATTTAGAGTAAGACGGCCTGAATTCAAGTCTTGGCTCAGAGTAATTTTTGGCAAATCCTATCACAACTCATTTGCAGTTATCTGCAAAATTAGGGGGTTGGACTAAATGACCTTTAAGGTTTCTCCTATCTATGATCCTATGAACTCAACCTCCTGTAATATCCCTTATGTTTTAAGTTTGGACAAGCACTCTGAACATAGTTATAAGATTATTTTTCTTAGCGACTTATTTTTTTCTCTATCGACATCTTATAGATCTAAACTTGAGGAAAATTGATCATAGTCTTTTTGAGTCATTTCAGTTGTGTCTGACTCTGTGACTCCATTTGGGGTTTTCCTGGCAAAGAGATTGGAGTGGTTTGCCGTTTCCTGCTCCAGCTCATTTTATAGATGAGGAATTGGGGCAAATGGCTAATTGACTTTCCCAGGGTCACATAGTGTCTGAGGTTGGATTTGAACTTGGGTCCTTCTGACTCCAGGGCCAATACTATATCCACTGCACCACCAAGCTTCCCCGATTATAATCTTGGCTTCTAACAAACTCTTCCTTTTTACCTCCTCAGTGATGTGACTGGTGAATGGGAAGAAGAAGCAGGACAACAAGGAAAAAAAGAGTAGATATCCTTGCAAAACAACAACAACAAAAGACTTGAGGCAAGAGTTTACTCTTAGGAAACTGAGGGGTGTAGAAGGACAATAACACTCTTCTATGGAAGATATGGAGAACATATACCTGATGTTCAGTGGCATGAGACGTTACAACGGGTGCCCCCATGAGAAATGTAAATCTCAGCTATACTTGTCTCAAGAAAATCTAATGTTCTGATTTTGGTTCTAGGTGACCCAAAGCAAGTGTCCTACTCCTCCAACAGTATTGAGTTCTGTTCCCTTTAAACAAAATTGTAGGCATTACAGAGATTATTGCAATATGGAGAAGGGAGGTAAGAAAGATTTTAACACTGTGGAGAAGGGAGGGCCTGAAGGTGATGAGCAGTCTGACTCCTCCAACCTATAATGCATAGATCATAAGTGATCTATGAGAACAAGCTGAGACAAGTAGCTAGTACTGTCATAACTCATTTAAAGAAGATAGCCTAAGGTGAGCCAAAACCACAATGACATTAGCATTTACTACTATACCTACAGCGTTTGCCACTTCAACAGAAGCAATAAGGAAGCCACAATCATTTTGTCCAAATTACAAACAAAGAAATAAATAAAACTTGTTTTTAGGAAACTGGTAACCGAGTGACTGACATCTGGCAAGGGAATCTGCTTAGGGTAACAGATAAATGTGGAGGAGAAGCTACCCACCTTGCTGTGTGCCTCCAGGTGTTAAGATTGAGCCACTTGCTTGTGGCTGTGATAATAGGGTGAGGTAAAATTTAATGAGAAAGAAGCTAAAACACTGAGAATTCAAGAATAAGGAGTCTAGGCATGGACTAGCCAGAGAGTGAGCTGAGCACTTGCAGCTGTCTCCATCTACTCAGGGGCTTGTAGAGTCCACAGACGTACGCTTGACATGTTCCAGGTGAGCATGTTCTGTAGTGTCCAGGTCAGTATCATATTTGGCCAAGATTTTGAGGAGAGGCCGAATTCTCATCCACCATTGCTCCTTAGGGATCCTGTGTCTGTAGAGAAATAAGATAGGGTCAGCTGGCAGCCTCCAAGCACCAGTCACCTGCAAAAAATAAATCTAGGGGGTCCAGGAGTTGTCATGCAGAAGAGAATATTTTGGAAAGGGATTTAGTAAAAGAGACTAAGCATTCTTAAGGAAGAGACATGAGGCTGGGGAGACGTAAGGAAGAGTTTTCTGGAACTGGGATAAAGGTACTCACTCAAAGTCTGTTTCTTCTTTGAGGTCAGACAATGGTTGGAAAATCAAGGCCCTCTGACGCATCCCCAGTACACAAGCTGATTCAGGTGAATTGGCAAAAACACGCCCTGCAATAAGAGTTTGTCAGTAAGATTCTCATCCTGCAAAGTGCTGGACAGATTCCAAGGCCTCCCCCTTTAGCCTCACCTACCATTACGGATACTTTCTTGGATTTTTGTTGACATCCAGGTCATAGCCTTGGCTCCCATCTTAGTAGCAAAGTTTCTGTCAAATGGAGTTGGACTTCCACCCTAAAAACAGTACAGGAGAAAGTTGAGAAAAAAGAGCCATGGGTTAAGGTTAAGAGGAAGAAATTTTGAGGTGCCTTTGAGGTGGGAGGATAAGATGCTGGAGACCCAAGCAGGGAAATTACTTGAAATACTTTTGGACTAGGAAATAAATGCAAAGGCTCAGGTCAGTAAGTAGGTCAGCAAGCCCTTGCTTTTGCTGTGCATGTTTGGTGTGTTGAAGGGGAGATAATGGCAGAGAAGCCTTCCCTCTGGTATCGCATGGCCACCTGGTTCTGTGTTGGCACTCCAAGTCTATCCACTTACTGTGGGACTGCCACTCAGGGCAGTGTCCCTGCCCTTGTTAGTCTAAGTACATTTGCTATTGTCTTAGGAAAGAAGATATTAAAGCTTTTCCTGGGACAGGAGGATGTAGATGATAAATCAGGAAAAATGAAATTTGGTTAAGAGGGGACAGAGTCACCCCTAGACAAAAGTGTGAAGTAGGCAAAATTGATCCATTTATGGCACTTTCCCCTCCCATAACACACACATTGTTTATATTCCTTTGAACTATCTCCCCATCAAGGCTCTCTCAGCCTGCCCTGTGATTGTGGCCTAGAGGAAAAGATTTGAAACCGGTTAGTAGTGTGATATAATATAGTGTGATATAATAGAATGAGTTGGTGCACTAGGGAGTTGGAAAACCTAGGTTCTTGTCCATATTTGCACAACCATTGGTCTCCCTAAGCCTCAGTTTCTTCAGTTATAAAATGCAGATAATACTTGCACTATTCTGCCTCATGGGGTTGTGGAGAAAGTGCTAAGTAGGAACTATTATTCTTAGTACAGTGTTGGGTTTTTAATATATTGTTTCTTTCTTATGCTTTTGGTTCGGGGAGAGGGAAATAGTAAGAATCTTTCCTTGAAGCCCTACCCTATAAGGTCATCTAATTATCCAATGTCCAGGAGTGAGGGAAAGAAGCTAGTGGACTTTGGGAGTGGGCCACAAGGGGGCCATTGTCCTAGCAGGTGAGACTTCAGAGGGGTGGCTTTTCCAGGTCAAAGGGTTAGAAGGGGTGAGGGGGTTAAAACATCAATGGCAGGGTCTGGGATCTTGAGGATGGAGAAGGGAGGGTCTGAGGACATGTATGAGTTCCCTCACCTGTTGCATGTGACCCAGTGCATTCTTCCTGCTATTGAAGATGCCTTTCACCTCTTCTGAGTACAGATTGAAGATAAAATCAGTGGTATAATTTTCATTGCACTTCTCATTCCTGCTGAGCAGAGACTAGGATCCAGCAGCTGCAGCTCCAATTTTCCCATTTCCTCCCCATTTATTCGTTGTGGGCTTTGTGCCTCCCTCCCTCTCTCAATCTATTCATAAATTCTCCTCTGATTCATAAATCTGATAGGTAATATGTTCCATATTCTTTTAGTCTTCCTGTAATATGTCCTTTTATATCTAGGTCATGTATTCATTTTGACTTTATCTGGTTAAATGGTGTAAGATACTGGTCTATACCTAATTTCTGCTAGATTGCTTTCCAGTTTTCCCAACAATTTTTTTAATCAAATAGTGAATTCCTATCCCAAAAGCTTAAATCTTTACATTTGTCAAACACAAGGTTACTATAATCATTTACTACTCTATATTGTGTGTCTACTCTGTTCTATTTCCTTTCAAATCACTTAAAGGCTAAATCCATTTCTTCTGTTTTCTTACGCTAACTTGTCAAAGCCTTCACAGAAGACATTACATTTTACTTATTTTTCAGTTGTTTCTTGACTTTAAAACAAGCTTTTCTAAAACTCTGGGTGCACTTTAGGATTCACCCTCAATCTGAGAGTCCCAACGTAGGGGCTGATAACAGGGCTTGCTTAGGTCTTCAGGTTGGTTGTTCAAAAGCAGTAAGAAACAGAAGAGCAAATAAATTCTGACTTTATTTACTTTTATTCTTTTGGATAGAGAAAACTGAAGGTGGTCTAACAAGCTTTTTTTTCTTATGAAAAAGGCAGGACAGAAATCACATTTCCATCCTACAATAAATCTGTCATTCCCTTTAAGTTCAGTTTTTAAGTGTACCTTTTAAAGAATTTGTAATCTACACAACAGTTAAAACCAATTCCACAGAGTGACACCCAAAACTTTCATACTCAAAGACTAACTGGAACTACTTTGGACTTATTCTACTGATCAAAAAGTAGGACTTTGTTGTCAATTTGATATTGTATGTATCAAAAAGTAGGCTCTTGTTGTATAAGTGAGACTTGAACAGTTGGAGAGCTAAGCTCGCTCTTTAATTCTCCAACATATTTTTTTCTTTAATTTTAAGTAGCAAATGTATTTTACTTTATAAGTTCTTATTTGTGAAATTATTTAAAGTTACAGGAGTTTTATTCCAATTCCTCTTGTACTATTTTTCCTAAGTTGTTCTTATCTTGATACTCTTCTGACTTTTACTAAATCTCTCTTGAACCAATTTTATGATCAATAAAACAGTTTTAAAAATTCTAACTAACTTTAAAAGCAATCTCAAGTCATCTTAAAGTTAACTCCTTTTTGTGAATTAATGTGATCTACCAATTTTTTATTTTCATACTTTACAAAGTTTACTGGTACCCCCCCAAAAAGACTTATCAAAATAGTCATAAAAACATTCAAATCACAATTTAGAATTTTTCTGCAAATTACATCCTTTTTTTAAAATAACATTTAGTTTCTAATTAGTTTTTGTATCTGTCTTTTCATCTCTACAGTCTCCAATGTGGCCAGCATTGTAAGCAGAGAGAAAAGAGAGATTTTTCTTTTCTGAAGACTGAATATTTTTCGTTTTACAGTCTTTTTCTATTGGTTGATCAGGCCAAAAGAAAAAGCATAGGTTGAATTATCAAGACATAGAACAAAACAAACTGTTGGAAATACTTGCCAACATGGATTAACACAAAGCACAGATATAACAGCACAGATAAGAAGACAGCAACTTATCTCCACCTTACTCTTGTGCTGTAAGTTTCTGTTTAGATCCTCCTAGTATCCTGTTTTTGTTCTTATTCTTTTTCTTTCTGCAATCTGTAGTAAAATGTCACCTTTTGCAGCAATGAAAGCATACTCATTCCCTGTGGTAGGGTTTTAAAAGGAGCAGGAGGTATTTGAGTTGTGGCCAAGATTGCCTGAGGTTTCTGCCTAGGTTTCCTCTTCATATTAGGCAATTTCTGGGGTAACAAGAAAGTGACTTGAGGGTGTCATCTTTCCAGGCTGGGTGATAGCAGGTATAATTCTCTTTTGAAAAGAAAAACTACCAGCAGCCAGTTCCTCTTTTTTTGAAAGATGCTAGATCTTTTACCATACTGGAAGATGAATTGAGTAGACGAGCAAAAGAGGAGGATACAGCCAGAACAGGATGGAAATAAGCAAGCCCTTAAAAAGCAGTGGCCATGTCTAATCAGACAGGATTGCCCCACACCATAATTTATTTTTTTTTGGTGGGGGAGGGAGTGAGATTGTTCAATGGACATTCTTAGTTTCTCTAATGTGCAATAATCAAAAGTGTCAGATTCAGGCTAAAATAATCCATCAGCTAAAATCTCTAGCAGTCTTAGACCCAAAGGTTACTGAATTTAACAGAACAGCGCTTGTTTTCATCATTACCAGTTGAATTGGCAGCATACCTTTACTCCAGGATTTAATTTTCCCAGGGGGGTCCCCATGGGAATACTGTTACTTGCCCTCATTGTCACCCTTTAAAGGGATATTAAATGGGGAACTAACAGCAGAAATCACAAGTGGCTCAGGAGAGGGCAATTAGGAAGGTATGCGAGGTGGCCCTCCAAGTGGCACTGTTGTGGAAGAGGACAATGACTAGTGAGGCGTCCCCTACTCATCCCAGTCAAAGCATGGAGTTCAAGAATTGCTCCTTTTAGACTGTTGTAGGTTGCTTAAGGCCAATTGTGTAGAGGCACAATTTTCAGGCTTGCCTTGGGAGGCAAAACCTCTTGCTCAAGTTTTATCTATCAGGAGTTTCCTTCCAATGTGGTTTAGCTGTGGTTCACCCTTTGCTTTCTACTGTGGCTCAATTTACCCAGCCAAGTAGATGAGACAGCTTTGGGAGCTTCGTCATAGACTTGGCCCTTGCCTCATGGATCTAATGTAGCCCAGAAGATCTTATCAGGGTGTCCCTCCCAGTGGCTCATTGCATTCCTACTAGTAGCCCTTGCTTTCAAGACTGGTATCACAGCATCGTGCTCAAGAAAGCCTGGCTGCAGCTGCTACCAATTCTTGTGCCAGAGCAGGTGTTAATAAGGAAGTCCTGAAGACTGATTCTCAATCTTAAATTTTGAATTAGTCAGTTAGAAAGAAGCCAAATAATCACTTAAAGTTTCAATGTCTTATCAGCTGAATGTTTTTGTCTTAGTGAACATTCACTTGGAAAAAAAAAGTAGTTGCTAGACTACACATTTTTTCCTCCAGTTTCTCCATTAAGTTTTTTACTCTCTCTTTTAAAGTTTTCTGCTAAAAGCCTAGAGTACACAATCAATTTTAAAGCTTTTTAAAATCAAATTCAGTTCTACTTATACAAAAACTAAGTACCCTAGAAACTTTCCTAGTTGGTTTGTTGAATAGATTTTTCCATTCAGGAACTTACCTTGGCTCAGAAAAAAAAATTGACTCAGAGATGAGGGGGATGTCCAGCCTCCAATGCATCTTCCTTGAAGGGACGGATAGTTCCCTTGAAGAGACCATCCTTGGAGGTCAAATTGCTCAAGTTCCATCTGGGTTGCCAATTGTTATGATTATAATATGAAATGAAGATAATCTGAGGCATAAAGTTTCAAGCAAAATCTATTTATTAACCAGACTAGCAAATGCCAATAATAGAGGTCAATGGCCCCTTAGTGACCAGAGACATACCTGACAATCAGAACAGTTAATACAGTGTGGAAGTTACACAAAGTCCAGTGATGCAAACTAATTTGAGACTGTGATTTGTCTATAAAAAAGGTGAAGGGTGGGATATACATTTTGCTTCATCATGCTGACTTGCAAGAGGGATCTCCAGAATTTATAGGAATGAGGAAAATATGGAATAATATCCTTTAGACAGTCCTGTGCCAGACACCATTCAATACTAAAGATACCCAGTGCTAGGCAAAACCTCTGCTAACCAGGGTTGATTTATCTACCATTCATTTTCTTTATCTTTCTCATGAGACAGGACCAGCTTGTAAGCCTTTAAAATTAGGGTACTTAGGGGCAGCTAGGTGTTGCAGTGGATAGCACACAGGCCTTGAAGTCAGGAGGACTTGAGTTCAAATTCAGCCTCAAACACTTGACACTTACTAGCTGTGTGACCCTGGGCAAGTCACTTAACCCCAATTGCCTAAAAAAAAAAAATTAGGGTACCTAGTTACTCTTACAAACTCTACTGCTGAGATCTATCCAATCCAAATCTGATTCATAGTTATTCATTTCAGTGATTAATTAAAAACTCTTAACAATCAGTAATCAATAATTTCACAATGCCCTCTCTATTACTCCATGCTGCCTCTTTTAAGGGGTGTTTTGTTGCAAACTGAAGAGCCTTAGCTATGAAGAAAAGAATCAAAAGAGCGATGGTGTAAGAGAACCCACAACATCTCTGCGTTCCCAGTCTTTCCTTCCTGTAGCTCCATGAAGCAGCAACAATTTTGGTATCATCCTCTGAGCCTTGCCCAATTGTTGGGAGCTATAACTCCCTTTGGAGGCAGCTAGTGACTCAGCAACAGAGCACCACATCCAGGGTCAGGAAGACCTAAGTTCACATCTGGCCTCAGACACTCACTAGCTGTGTGACCCTGGGCCAATCACTTAGCCTAATCCACTAATCCACTGGAGTAGGAACTGGCAAACCACGCCAGTATTTTTGCCAATAAAATCCCATATGGGGTGGTTGTGGAGGGGTGACAAAGAATTGGACGTGACTGAATAGATTTTAGTGCCCTACATCACTGTATATTTTTTTTTGCCTTTTTTTTTTTTTTTTTGGTGAGGCGATTGGAGTTAAGTGACTTGCCCAGGGTCACACAGCTAGTGAGTGTTAAGCTAGTGAGACTGGATTTGAACTCAGATCCTCCTGACTCCAGGGCTGGTGCTCTATCCACTGCGCCACCTAGCTGCCCCATCACTATGTATTTTTAAAAATGTTTGATATTTATACTTGAACATGTTTCTCCCTAGTAGAATGTAAGTTTACTTAATAATAGTCTGGAAAGGAAATCGGCACCAAATAAGGTAGGTGTGATCTTCCTTGTCTTCATTTGGAAGCCAATCTGGTCAGTAGGGTATGTTGAGTCAAATAGTTGTGGGGCATTTTTCAAGTTTCCTCATGAACTGGCCTTTTTTTCACTGGGAGATTGAAAAACTGATAAAATGGCTAGATTCCTAGTCTCCTGGATTAAGGAGGTCTCAGGAACAGCTTTTCTGCCTTAAGGAAAACTAGCTCAGCCTTCACAGCAAGGCCTTAGGAAAACTCCTCAGTTATCATTTAAAGTCCTCCATGATCTGGCTCTAACCTACCTTTTCAAACATTTCACATTTTCCTTCTCACAGTTTACTTTCCAGCAGCCATCTTAGTGCCCTCCCACAGGCTGTTCCACTTAAACTGAAATGCCCTCCATCCTCAACCTCTGAGCTGAGCCTTGAAGGTACCACTTCCTGCACAACTTGCCTCCCAAGTTATTAGTGCTCTCTCCCTCCTCAAAGTATTTTGATACAAGTTCTATCTCACCTCTATCCTTGCCCAATGTAAATTCCTTGAGGCCAGAACCAGTTTCGTTTTTGTGTTTGTATGTCCAATGATGTACAGATACAGAACTGACCACTGAGCTAGTTACACTCGGATTCAAGTCCTGTCTTTGACACATACTAGTTGGAAGACTCTGGACAAATCACTGAGGGATTACCCTCAGTAGTATAGGCAACTAATATAAGGTACAGAGAAAGTATTAACCTGCATTGGTAGAGGGAGTTTATTTGCTGGGGAATTCTCTATATCAGTGAAATCACAAGTCCAGACCCTATACCCATTTAGTGGTCAAGTAGTAGAGGTATTAAATATTTGTTGAAAAGAATTGAACTTAGTGGGTTTGGGTGGAAGGCCCCAGGAAACAGGAGCCTGACTCGATACCAGTGACTTTCTGTAGTCACCCCTGTACCTTTCTCCCAGTGTGAAATTCACTATTCCAAGACTGATTTTCCTCACCAGGGGTGTTATCTTCTACTTTTGACATATTTCCAGGTAGTTGAGGAAGATAGGACCCTACAGACAGGAGAAATTGTATCTGCTGTCCTGGAATCTTGAGAATTGGTCTAATGGGGTTGTAATTAATGGAGTTCTCAATTTGAGATTATGTTTATTTGGATGTTTGCCTGAATGGCCCCTTGAGACAAGGTGTCAGGAGGTACCTATATCCATAGGAGTTATCCTTCACTTGATATGGGAGTTATATAAAGGTCACTTCACCCTAGTCACCATTCTGGGTAGCTAGCTCCATTTAAGGGATGAAGAAACTGAGACTGAAAGAGGTCAAGTAAATTGCCTGGAATCACACAGGGCCTAATAAGGGCCTGAGGCAGGATTTTAATTCAGGTCTTCTTGGTTTCAAGTCCAGCACTCCATGCCACCTAGCTGCCCAGCAGGATCTAGAACAGAGGTTCTTTTTGTAGATGTTATGACCCCTTTAGAAGTCTAGTGAAACCTATAGATTTCTTCTCAAAATGCTTTTAAATGAATTGGATTAAAAAGGAAAACTATATTTAAACTTTAAAAAAAATCAAGTTCACAGACCCAGGGTTGAGAACCCCTACTTAGCATTTCCTGAACAGTTTTGATGCTCTTAATGAATTTACCTGAGAATTGAAGGTCCATTCATTTCCACAGCACTAAATAAGAAGCACTTCAACCCAGCAGAAAATTTCAAAGCTACTAGAAATTAGTTAGAATGAAATGCATTTACAACTCCAGTTAGCTTTCCCTTCATGACTACATTTTTTCTGACTACAGTCTATTGTTAATAAAATTAATAAACTAACATATACTCTAGAGAACAGGGAATTTAGGGAGGATGAATTTGCCTCCTCCAGTAAAAGTGAGAGTGCTTCTAAGAGCATTGTTAGAAATTAGACATTCCCTGCAGATGAAAGCATACTATTTGCTCTTTTTCTGTCGTTTTTGTTTTGTTTCTTCTTTCTTGTGGTTCCTCCTCCCATTGGTACTAATTCTTCTTTACAACATGATTAATATGAAAATACGCTTAATATGAATGTATATTTAGAGCCTCTATAAGATTGGGAGAAGGGGGAAATTTTAAACTCAAAATCTTATGGAAGTGAATGTTGAAAACTAAAAATAAATTTTAAAAAATTAGACAATTCCCCTAAACTCTTGTGTTGATTTCCTTTGCTTTTTACTGTTTTCCTTTTGGGCCTCGGTGATATCGTTTGGAGCTTCTTGGGTTTTGGTAAATGACATTTGTCTCAAAACTTTGCTAGTTTGCTTTTTTCAGCCTTTGCTACTTTAACTTAAAAAAAAAACAAACCAAAAACCTTGTTTTAACTAGGAGTACTCTTGCCTGCTGCATGCAATTAGTTTCCCAGGTGACTTTCTCTGGGCCACTTTTTCTGCATGTTGTTTGTCCCCCTGTTACCCAGACCTGGGGCATTTATGAATCTGGAAGAAGTGAAACATTCCAGGACCTGTGCCTTGGATCATCAGATCATTCTAGAGAGGAATTTTTGAGAGTTTGAGGCCTTGAGGCCAAGCTGGTTCCTCAAAAGTTCATTATGGAGAACTTCCCGAGACAAAGCCTGTTTAGGAAGGAAACAGCCCACAGGGAAGGAATCTCCTTAAGCAATGCTGAAGACTGGGAAAGGGCCGGCTGGCATCTCAGGTTCCTCCTGCAACTTTAGCTCTTGAGATCCCTTCTGATTTCAGTTTCGGGCGCGGTCTCGGTGGAGGTGTTCACAGTCTCGGTTTACCAGGAGGGGAGAATGTCGTCGTCCAAACCAACTGCTTGCCTGCGTCGTCTTCTTTAGATTGTGGCGGTGGCGGCCGAGCTCCTTATATAGGCTCCAGCTCGACGTAGCAGAACCAATCCGCTCGCGGCTGGCCAGCTTTGTCTGGCAGCTCAGCGAGGCAGCTCTAGTTGTGCTTCTTCGGTTTCTCCCGAGGCTCTTTGCATCCTCCTCGGGGCGTCTTGCAACCCCCTTTTAGTGTCTCCAGATCCAGGCCCTCTGTATCTTTGACTTCCCGAAGAGTTAGGATGAAAGGCATTCAAGAGGGCAGCAAAAAATCAGAATAAGCAGAGATTTGCTTCCTTCTTTCAAGCCCCCTTGGCTCAAAATTGCCTTTCTGGAGAAATTAAAATTAATTTCTTCACTGTCGGAAAAGCGAAATGTGACCCTTGAATATCAAGCTGAATGTCTGTCTCAAGCCTGGGGCTGGAGGTTCTCCGGCTGAGGTGAAAAGCCTCGAGAAGACGCTGAAGAAACACACAGAGAGTGCACAGGTGAAGTGGGGGCTGATTGATTCTGTGAGGTCGCACTCCCTTCGCTTCAGGATTGATTCTATTCCGTCGGTTTAGCGACTATAAAGAGGTGGAGGGTCTGAAAGTGCTCAGTGAGAGGCAACTTCTGGGAAGATGCTTCGTGGAAAGAGCAGAGATGCCCACAAGTCAAGCAGAGCTTTCAACCTTATCTAGGAAGTCTTTCTCATTGTCCTCGAAAGGAATTGGTAATTAAGCTGTATAAAATCAGCAGGCAGGATAACTCTAACAACAGAGAAGGAAAGTAACTAAGGCCAGCCCAAGAGCCTGGGTGCCAATTTTCTTTCCCAGCCCAGTCAGAGTTGTCAAGAGTACCAAGACACAAAAAGAAAGGCTTCAGTGCTCAAGAAGACTTTTGAAAATAGGAATTTTGATTGGCCAAGATGACAAAACAAGAAAATGATAAATGTTGGAGAAGATGTGGGAAAATTGGAACACTAATGCATTGTTGGTGAAGTTGTGAAATGATCAGGTCATTTTGGAGAGCAATTTGGAACTATGCCCAAAGGGCTATCAAAATGTGCATACCCTTTAACCCAGGAATAGTACTTCTAGGGCTATATCCCAAAGAGATCATACAAATGGGAAAAAGACCTACATGTACAAAAATATTTGTAACAGCTCTTTTTGTGGTGGCAAAGGCTTGGAAATTGAGGGGATGCCCATCAACTGGGGAATGGCTGAACAAGTTGTGATGTACGAATGTAATGGAATACTATTGTGCTATAAGAAATGATGAACAGGCTGACTTCAGAAAAACTTGGAAAGACTTGTATGATCTGATGCTGAGTGAAGTGAGCAGGAAAACGTTGTACACAGTAACAGCCACGTTGTTCAATGACTAATATTGATAAACTTAACCCTTCTCAGCAATACAAGGGTCTAAGACATCTCCAAAGGCCTTGTGACGGAAAATACTATCCACAAAGAAGAAAGAACTATGGAGTTTGAATGCAGATTGAAGCATACTATTTGCTATTTTTTTTTCTTCTGTTGAGTTTTGTTTCCTCTTTCTGGTGGTTCCTCCTATTGGTTCTAATTCTTACAACATCACTAATGTGAAAATACATTTAATAGGAATGTATATGTATAGCCTATATTAGATTGCATGCTGTCTTAGGGAGGGTGGTGGGGAGGGAGGGGGAGAAAAATTTTAAACTCAAAAGCATATGGAAGTGATTGTTGATAAATCAAAATAAATTTTAAAAAAATAGGAATTTTGAGTTGCCCATAAGACTGGAACCCAGTAAGAGCAAAAGGGTAAAAGGCAGACTGAAGATTAACCAGAGGAAAAGGAATCAAATCTCCCCAACAAAAGGCTCTTCTTAAAGTCTCAGATTCACCAGAAGTTAATAATAGTCAATAAAACTAATAGATTCTCTTCAACCCCACCCCCATCCCCCATTCTTCTGTATTTTAAAGTGGAGAACAAAGTATCATATTACATTTTGGATAATATGGAAGTAGAGTAAGCTAAGATTCACTATTCTATCCCTAGGAGGGTATATACCTAGCTCTTTTTTTTGTTTTTGATTTTTGTTTTTTGCTTTTTATGAGGCAATCAGGGTTAAGTGACTTGCCCAGGGTCACACAGCTAGTTAAGTGTCAAGTGTCTGAGGCCAGATTTGAACTGAGGTCCTCCTGACTCCAAGCCTGGAGCTCTATGCACTTTGCCACCTAGTTGCCCCCCCTAGCATCTTTTTGAATGGTAAGGAACCCATTATTACTATGTTCATCCTGAACTATCACTGCCAAAGACTAGAGAAACCAACAGATTCATTTCTGATTTTCAGTAGAATTTATCACCTTCAATCTAACTTCCCAGTTCAATTCCTTAGTTTTCAATTTGACGTGGTAGTGGTGGTGGTGATAAGCAAAGTTTAGGATGAGAACCAACAGAAAAAAAAAAAAAGGTGAACCAGTAATTGAAAATTACGTGGCTAAGGGACTTTACATAATAATCTAATTAGGTACTGTAAGTATGATTACTCCAATCTTCATATGCAGAAACTAAGGCTGCAAAGAGATAACTGATTCATCTACGGATCACACAACTAGCAGGCTGCAGAAGCCAGGAATTTGAACCTAGGGCTTTCTGATTCTCAGCTAAATACAGTACTACCTCTACAATAACAGAGAAATTATGGAAACAAATTGAATAGCATAGGACTGGCTAGGCATGAGGGAATATATCTGACCAATTAGCTTTGGTGTGACAGGTAGAGCATTCTAGTAAGGAGACAGGTCTGAAATAAGGATTCAGAATACAAGTCAGGTAGGGGAATATCTCCAATTGTCCTGATCTATATCTGGCCACTGGACCCAGATGGCTCCAGAGGAGAGGGTGAGGCTGGTGACTTTGCACAGTCCTTCCTCACTTAAATCCAATTCACTTCCATGTTATGGCATCACCTCCCTGATGTCATGGTTCTCTTCAAGAATGAAGGACAAACAACAGTTTCTGTGAGTTGAAAAGGAACTGCCCACTGGGGACCAAACTGGAACTGGCTAGGTGGGCAACACAGTTTTCCTTTCTTTCTTTCCCTTTCCGCTGTTCATACAGGGTATCACATCCTTATCTGCCCAAAAGGAATGTAAATTTTAATCTCCGAAACTTTTTTTTAAACACCAGTCTTAACCCTGAATCACTCTGGCTCTCATTGATTGAATTTAGAATTGTAAACCAGGTTCCTCACATCCTTCTTAAAAAAAGTCATACACACATATGCTTTTTCAACAAAAATCTGCCTTCTCTCCCTCAATATCCTTCTTGTTAGCCAACCTTGAGTAGATGGAGGGAAATTCTGATCCTATGTTTCTCAAACCCCTCAACCAATCACATACTCTGAAAGTGGAAGTAACAGCTTACTACCACAAATCAGCTTCCTGGACCTCCCCCCCTCCTCAACCCTCCCACATCCCCACCCCTCCCACCTCCTGCCAAAGAATTGGGAGCATCTCTGACAGATGAACTTGAAGCTAAATTTTCAAATGAACATGATTCAAAATTTTCAAATGAACATGATTCAAAGTGTATATAACCTTGCTACTGTGACTGAAAGGCTTGAGTGATTGAATTCTTTTGAGGCAGACACCCCCCCCCCCATGCTCTTGCATTTTGGAGTTCCCAACACCCCAAACCACAACATAGGAACATCTATGGAAGAGAATTTGGGTGGGAGGAACTAGGGAGAGAAACCTCCAGCTGTTAAAAGAGAAAAAAGTCAGGTTAATTCCTGTAATGCCAGATGCTAAAAACCTTCGGTGCCTTGGTAAAGGTAGAGCACTGCTATTAAGCCTGACCTTCCTAGGGCCTCTAGCAATCTTTCTCTACCCCACTCCCAATTTAGGGATAGCTGAAAGAGCTCTTAAGTGTTAGGAGATCTGCCATTGAATATTGTTTTCATTTGAGCCAGATTGGCTGTGATTGCAACTTCTCAGTCACTCTACCAGGTTTTTTTTAAACTACTTTCTTGTTTTCACTCTCGGTTCAAAGTCTTCTTTAGACATCCTCCAGTTTGAGAAATTTAACTTTCTGAAGGTTTGTCAGCATATTGTTCTTTGCTCCCTTTGTGACTCTTGCTACTGTCCCGTCTCTCTTCTCTAAACGTGGAGGACTAAGAATAAATTTATACCACATGTACATTTCTTTCATGTATCTCATCCTTTGCCCAATCTTCTGTTCCAGCCTCATTCCAAGTCCCCTCTTCTTATTTTGGATATACTATTTTTCAAATAACTATCACCTACTCTTTCCCCCAAAAGCCTTGGGGTTTTTGTTATAAATTGGTGGAGGAGGTAGAGCTGAGCTTGGTCCTGGGGTATTTTAATTTCTCATGAGTTTTCTGAATCAGACCTCCAGAATCTGTTTGAGTTTTCATAAAGTGTTTTAAAAAATAAGTTTAAAAACCTGTAAAACTCAGGCCTGGTACTGGAACAACCCCACCAAGGTTCAGTCAGTCCTAGAGATACCCTGAAACAGCCAGTTGGACTTTACTCCCACATTACAAGTAGTCCCACTCCTCCCTATCTTATTATATCTCTAAATCCTTACATGGTCACCACCTCACCTACTCAACTGAGGTCTTCCTGGTTTCTGTCATTGGAATCCTGGTTTCTATTCTGTGTATTCTATTCTATTCTGGTATTAAATTTTATTTATTTATTTATTTTATTCTATGTCCCCTCTGGTCTGTGACATACACACTATTCTCAGGCTATCTTCAAACCTTACACTCTGGATGAAAACATACTGAGATTTGATTTTTTTTCTTTGCATCCTATCTCTAGGGCATAAGTGCATCATTACACACAGTTTTGGGCTCTTAATAGTTTGTTGAATGCACTACCTATCTTTATAGCTTCATAACTGCACTCCTCCCCATTTCCCAAGCAGACTCTCTACTCTGCAGTCTGGTTATCACATCCACCTTTATAATATTCTCATTTGGGGATCCCCAATATGGTTATTTGCATGCTAAAGGCGATTCTCATTGCCTTATGTTAAATATTGAAAGATAATGAAATCTTGCATTTTAAAATCTGGTCAACTTCATGTCCCCAACCACTTCTGATGGAGGGATGTTTTGTGAGAGTGTGTGCTATAAGTGGAATTTCAGCCCAGACATTTTTGTGCATGAGAGAACTGTCCAGCTTTTTGCAATCTACACAATGGATGAGGTTATGCCTAATTTTTTGTCTACTGCTAAAGTCAGCCCAGTGTGTTTCAAAGGTAAGCCAAGAGTGTGTGTTAAATTGACTTGACCTTCATCTCTGAGTTTACCTGTCACAATGAATCAATGGTAGTTCCTTTCCTTCATTTAAAAAACAAACAAAAACAAAACAAAACCCATGTTTTAAAAAGCATTAGCCTTTCTTTCCTCTCCCCTTTCTTGATTTTTTTTGTTCTATTCAGATTTATAATAAGCAAGGAAAGCTGATCCTAGATGGCAAGAGACGCTCACCTTCTCCTTCCCCACACGCCTAGCCCTACCACACCTTTCTTTTCCCTTCCCTGTATCTCACTCCCAGAGCATTAAAGGAAGAAGAAAAAAAAGACACAAAGATCACGGGAAAAGGTATAATAAATACTTCCCGGCCATTTCACTCAGTGAGTGCATAGATTGTTCCGAGAGGAGCTCTGAGTGGGAACGAGAGCCCAATTCAAGAGCTCTGGGGATGTCCACCTATCCCTTGTGCGCTTTCTTTTCGGGAGGAATCCTTTCGGGGGGAAATTTTGTAAGGTCGCCTTGTTCTCCGATCAAGGGCCTTCATATTGCCTCCATGGATCTTGCTCGACTTGGCTGATGCGAGATTCAGGTTCGGGCTGTATCTCTGGCAACAGTTCTGGCGGTTTTGCTTATGTTTCACTTGCTTCTCCGGGTCCACGTTCCTCTCCCTCACCTTCTCCCTTGTCTTCTCCTTCGGCTTCGTTTTCTTGTCTTCGTTCACCGTCTCTCCTCTGTTCTCCTTAATCCTCATTTTCTTTCCTTTCTTTGTCTTTGGCCTCTTTGACCCTTCCGTCGACCTCAACTGGTCTTTCGATTTCTCCTTCATCTTCATCTTCTTTATCTTTCTCTGCTTCGCCTTGGGCCCCATCTCTTCCCTCGTTTTCTTAGATGCCTTCTGGCTCATGGAGTATCCTGGGACCAAACTCAGCGCGACCTCCTCCATATCCTCAGGGTTTTCATTCACTTGCTCCACGTAGATTTTCTCCTCGGATGAATGCGGAGTCTCGGACAAGTCGTACAAGTCGGGAGTCTCGGGCCCCTCGGGCGTCTCGGGTTTGAACGAGTCCCCTGGGCTGGGTTGGGAATCCTCCTCAGGAGGCTTCCTATACCGGCGAGCAAACAGGGACTCGAAGCAATTCTGGTTCACTTCCTCGATCTCCGCAGATCTTCTCTTGGTACGTTTCTTGATTGGCTTCAGACTCTTCCAGACTCTGAAGAAGCCCTCGGCTTTGCTGCCGCTCACCCGGAGCAAAGTGCCTTTCACCGACGCTGGCTTGGGCCCCAAGGAGGAATGATCGCTGCATTTCCTGCCCACCTGGTAGCCGGCGTTGCCGAACTCCTTCTTGAGCATTGTGAGAGTCAGTCCTTTGTGGGCGGCAATGGCCCGCAGCAGGAGCTGGGAAACTCGGAGCACCGATCGCCGGCGACGCTTCACTTGTGTGTCCTGCGGCTTTTCCGACGATTCTGGGACTATCTCTTTAGAGACGCCATCGGGATCGGCTGCCTCGGTCATGGTGCTCCCTGCTCGCGCTAGCGCGGGGCGGCTGGTTTGGGACATCACCATCCCACTTGGCCCTTCACTGTAGGGAAAGGGCGGCTTAAACGTCACAAAGGGCTGATACTTCGGAGGTCTCGGGTCAGAATATGAGCGGTGGGCGTTGGGTGGGGGAGGGCGGGTAGGAGAAGATAAGCATTTATTAAGCAACTCTTTGTGCCTGGAACTGCGCCAAGTGCTGGGGAAGAAATACAGTTCCTGTGCTCAAAGAGCATATTATACTGTATTCGGGGAGACAAACAGAATATGTACATGTACATACAAAACATATGTTAGTACTAGGCGTAGGATTAGGAGGATTAGGAGGGTTGAATCAAGAACTAATCTGAACTTTTAAAAAAAGGATAGTATTTCAATAAAGTTGGTTTTCTTTGTAATCTTATCTATTTTATTTTATACATTAAGAAACATTCTGAGAAGGGTTCCAGAGGCTTCACCAGATTGCCAAAGGGATCTATGACACACACACACACACAAAAGCATAAGAACCTTTGATTTAGAAAGTTGTGAACTCAGGAATACCACTACTAGGTTTTTATCCCAAAGAGATAATAAAAAAAGGGAAAGGACCTACATGTACAAAAATATTTATAGCAGCTCTCTTTGTGGTGGCAAAGAATTGGAAATTGAGGAGATGCCCATTGAAATTGGAAATTGAGGGGAATGGCTGAACAAGTTGTGGTATATGAATGTAATGGAATATTATAAGAAATGCTAAGAAGTGCTATAAGAAATGATGAGCGGGCGGATTTCAAAACAAACCTGGAAAGACTTACACGAACTGATGGTGAGTGAAGTGAGTAGAGCCAGGAGAACATGGTACATAGTAACAGCAACACTATTGGATAACCAACTTTGATAGACTTAGCTCTTTTCAGCAATACAATGATCTAAGACAGTTCCAAAAGACTCATGATGGAAATTGTTATCCACATTCAGAGAAAGAACTATGCAGTCTGAATGCAGATTGAAGCATACTATTTTCTTTCTTTCTTTTTTTTTCTTTCTCGTGGTTTTCCCCTTTTGTTCTGATTCTTCTTTCACAACATGGCTAACATGGAAATATGTTTGATATGATTGTACTTGCATAGCCTATATCAGATTGCATGCCATCTTGAGGAAGGAGGAGGGCTGGTAGGGAGAAAGAAATTTGAAACTCAAAATCTTATAAAAGTGAATGTTGAAAACTATATTTATTGTAATTGGAAAAAGTGTGGAGGAGGAAGAAGTTGTGCTTAAAAACTGAAATTGAAATGGGTGCCAATAAATTGGGGAAAGACTGTGTCAATTAGAATATGTGAATGTAATGGAATATCATTGCTTCTTATGAAAAGAAGAAGGATAGATTCAGAGAAACCTGGGAAGATTTGTATGAACAAATGCAGAATGAAGTGAGCAGAACCAGGAGAACAATTTATGCCAAGACTACAACAATATTTAGGAAAACAACTGTGAAAAAGACCCAATACCTCTGATGAATGTAATAAGCAATCACAGTCATAGATGACTCATGATGGATGAATCATGTTTTCTACCCCCTAACGGGGAGGTGATAGACTAGAAATGCAGAGTGAGACATTTTCAGATGCAGCCAATGAGTGGATTTATTTTGCTTGACTATATTCATTTGTTATGAATGTATAGAAGGTTGAATTGAATTATAAGGGCCATCTCAGGAAGCATTATGGACAGCTTATGTTCTTGTACTTTAGCTGCTCAGTTTCCTCATCTGTTAAATGGGGGTACTAGTAGCACCTACATCCCAGGGCAGTAGTGAAGATACAGTAAGACAATATTTATAAACGTTCTGTGCAAACTTTAAAGCACTATATAAATAAATGTTAACTGTTAAGAGTAATAAGGGCAACACTAGATGAATAGTTAGGGGCATCACGATACAACAGGAAAGAGCATTAAATTTGAAGTCAGGTCTGGATTCTGGTTACGGTTCTTCCACTAACCAATTGAAAAAACTCATGTCTAGTTTCAGACTATTTATCTGTGAAATGGAGAAGTTGGAATATATATGATCTCTAATATCCTGATTTGAATAATGGTTTCTTGACAACAGTGCCTGATTATATTCCTGGCAACTTTATTAATCAATCTATAGCCACCTTATCTTTGGGATTCTGGGAAAGGTGTCTCTTGAGTTGTCTAGGTAGGATTTACCAGTCAATCATACCCATCTTTCTTTCTAGAAGAACCTCAGTAAGTTGGGGGGAATCTTAGCCAATCAGGACCTTCCATTACTCAGGAAAAAAATGATAGGCTGCAGAAGGGTGATGAACATCTCCATGTATATCTAATGCTTCCTTTTCCTTCCCTTCCCTTCCCTTTTTACATTTAATACATTTAATTATCTTCCTTTACATTTAATAAACACCAACAAACATGAACATTTAAATATACAGAGATAAAGGGGGTTGTATAAAGGGGCTGTATATGAAACTGTGAACTTCTAGTATGTGTTAAAGTTTTTTTCCACTACATAGAGTTTGGGGGATTTTTTCATAATTCAAGCTTAATGTAGTTAATTCTGATTACCTGTGTTCCTTTCTGAATTCTCTTCTTCTATTTATTTTTAAATGATTCTTTGATGTCATTTCTTTTTCTTTTCTTTTTTTTAGCATCAATATCATTGCATCCCCTCAAAATATACTCCCTTCAAAGAAAAAGAAAAACTCTCCCTTATAACAAAAAAGTATAGTCATGAAAAACAAATCTAAACCTTGGCTGTGTGTGAAGTTGTAAGTCTCATTCTACACCTCTGGTCCCCCCTTCCAAGAGGTGGGAAGCATGTTTCATTATCAGTCTTTTACAACTGATTGGTCATTACATTGATCAGAGTTTCTTAAGTCTTTCATAGTTGATTTTCTTCACTATTTCCTACTTTTGTTCATTTAATTCACTTCTTCAGTTCATACAAGTCTTTCCAGGTTTCTTTGAATCCATCCCTTTCCTCATTTGATAAGGAGCAATAATATTCCATTATATTTATAAGCCATGATTTGTTTTGCCTTTTGTTAATAAACAGGCATTCACTTTGTTCCCAGTTCTTTGCTACAATAAAAAAGGCTTCTAAAATATTTTTGTACATGTGATACCTTTCCCTCTTTCTTTGATCTCTTTGAGACACAAGTATTAATGACCCCTACTTCATAAGACTAATTGAAAGAATCAAATAATATAAATATATAAAGCCTTAAAGGATAGAAGATAAAGACTGGTTCTGTGATATCACTGGTATCAGTATACCAATCAGTATTTGTATATTATTTAAACTTAAAAAAAAAACAACTAAATGAGAGCAGTAGAAGAAAAAATAGAAGAAGCAAGAACTAGGGAAGAAAGATATGAAAAATTAATAGCTTGGAAAATGAAGTACAGAAGCTTACAAAAAATAAATTTAAAATTAGAATTGATCAGTTGGAAGCTAATGATTAATTTTTATCCTATATTTTATATTTGATTTTTTTTAAAAACTGAAGCCTCTTCTCTGAGGTTTTAGTGGAGAAGGTTAAGTATGCCAAAGTCTAAACCTCCCTTCTAAGGATACAATTGCAGTTAGTTAAAGAAAAACTCTGTTCTCAAAACTCTTATAAAACATTGTCTCAGCATCTCCTGTAAGGTTTTCGGGGGTATTCCTGAGAAGCCAGCATAACCTGACCTTGTCCCATCTTTAACAATTGAGGTGATCTTAGTGAAATCCCCAGTCACCAATAAGACTGCCCTTATGAGGGACCTCAAGGAGTAGCTAAAACTTATAAATTTCTAAAGCATTCCTTAGAGATAGTGAGAGGTGGTCCTCATGGCATTTGTGAGTTATACCCATTTTCTTGGAAGCAGCCAATAATGATCTTTCATCTCTGTGATGCTGGTCAATTAGAAGACTTTTGTTCTGTTCTTTGCTCTACGCTTATAAAACTGTATTATACCCCCAATTCGGGGTCCATTAGACCTATCCTATATAGGGTCACATGCCCTTCATAATAAATGATATCTTACGCAGAGATTTTCCTCAGTTTACCTCTTTGTTAAATTTTAAATGAGACAGTTGATGTCAGAAGTGGGATTTAGATAGGAGAACCCCACCTCCTTATCAGAAACTTCCCCTATTCTACTGGGCCTAAGTGGAATATCCTTCACAAAGAAAGTTTCTTTTAGGTACTCTGCCTGTGGATAGGTTCTCCACCTAAGTATTGACCAAGACAGATCTTTTCTGAGTGAAAGGGTAAGTGTGAGGATTAATCTTGTATGTTTTATGTTTGTTTTGAGTATTTCTATTTGTATTTTAAGCTTCAAATTTTGAATTTGGAAAATAGAGATAAAATTTAAATTTGCTCTCTATGGGTGCTCTTCATGAAGACAGGCTTCCATTGAATAAGACCTCATGAGAATAGGATAAGGAGGTGAAAGTTACCCACTTTTAAGCATGTACCAGCATGACAACTTCTTACTAATTGGGGAAATTGAGGAAAATCCTATGTTCCTACCTGGAATGTAAACATTATTTTGTGGCCATCAAAACTCCCAAATATTTTGTTGTTTCAGGATAATCTTCCTAGCTGGAGTTTCATATGGTGAATGCTATCAGTATTTCTCTAGATTAATAAGCAAGCTGGGGACCCATTAGAGAAGGCAAAATTTTAAAATTAGTGGATATGTAGTTTTTACTTGTATATATTATAGACTGGGAAGTTTATTATAGCATGGTCCCAGGCGACATCTAGTGGCCAAATTGGAAACAGCAACATGTGTCTGTGTCCCTTTCCCTCCCCAACCAATTAATTTGCATAAGTTCCTTTCCCTTGATAATAATGTTGCTTCTGTAATGAAAAGCAGAATTGTCAGAAGGATAATTTATGCAGGGAAGCAGTTAGGAAGCGAGCACAGATTTTTTTTTAAAAAACCTGCTTTTAAGTAATTTGTCTCTAACCAAAACTTTAAATGAGAAT